AGCTGACAGTTGGTGTTTACAGGTGTACCTCCTGCTCAACATTCCACTGAACAGGTTCGACACATTGACATCGCGCCGTTGCTTGACAACCAACAACCTGGTCGCCCCACCAAAGCGGTGGCCAAGCTGGCTTTCTTCTTGGTTCAAGGGGTCTGCGCCGAATTCAAAGCCCGTGAGGTCGTGGCCGACATGGATCGTCTCCGCTTGCGCAAGATTTGGGACACCAATTGGCAAGCCGAGCAACTCCGCCATGCTCAGGTCCTGGTCGAAGAAGAGGTGCGCCACAAACAGGTCACTCATGAACTCAAGATCAATATGGCCCATATCGAACGAGCTCAGATGCGTGCGATTGAGAGGGAAGTCGACAGCGCTCGCGAGTATGATGAGGCAGAGGAAGCATTGGAACCCTTCTCCAGACGCACTGCCGCTTCTAATCCCGGTCCGGCCCACCCAAATTGAGGTCACTGTCCAGTTTGTTGGCCCGTCTGTATGCCTCTACTTAGCTTGTACATGTGTTGGGTTACTTGATACCGTTAACCATAAATAGCTCCAGAATATTACCTTTGAGAGTCTGTTCCTCCTGTTTCAATGTTTTAAGCTGCTGTAGATGACAGCTCTGAATCCTCAACTACCCCCAGACTTGTAGTGCTGCCCTCATACAATTTTTTGGCTTGATTATATTAACACAACTCCGCGGTTCACTATGATCTGTGTCCATACATAGTTGTACAAGCGAGTTAAACTATCCTCACATGGCATCTCGCATGTTGCAATGACCATGCCCAGTTTTTTACTGACCTCGTGGATGATGTCCGTCCGTTCACAATTCTCATCTAACTTGGCCCAGAACAAATTGCTGTCACAATTCAGATCAAAGCAAGCCAAGCCCACCCAAGCAGAAAAATGCCACACGTGACTCGCAGTTGTGCGGACTTCAAAAAAAATGCTTTAAGCCATCTGAAGACCGCTTTGACATTGGATTGATTGTGTATGAAATTGAACACAATCAATCCAATTATGAAAATCACTGACATAAGTCTCAATGGCCTTTTTTTTGGGGGGGGGGGCTTCACCAGTTGGACATGGCAGTCCTTCAACTTTGTCAGAATTTCGGTGGCAAACCCACCAGTCACATCCGAATCGAATCCGTACAGAAAGATGGGCTCCGCAGTCGAACAATCGGAAAACTTGCATCCACTTGCCTCAAGCAGCTCACCCAAAGACAAAGAAGATGTGGCGACTCACAAACGTGCCCATGCGGACACTTCTCCCCGATCAAACCATGGGCCTCCCGGTCCATTGGAGGCCGCTCACACTCGACACCGGCTTACCTCAGTCGAAACGGTCGAGTTCAGGTGGGAAGAAGACTTGCATGTCGACCTGGTTGGATTTGTGCGTCAATGGAGTGTAGAGACAGACAAAATGAAGATGTGTCTGGTGAGAGTCGAACTCACGACCTCAGCTAAGCTGAGACACATACTAGAGTGCTGCCTTTACCAACTAGGCTACAGACGCTTGTGACTGCCAGGTTTGTTGGGTGGTAGTGCTCATGGTTTGACATGTAGTGATACATCATGGTAGCAGACTATCAGACACCTCAACATGGAGCGACAAACATGCTCACGTAATGGCGGAAGCGGGCGGACCCGGAACCCAAGACCTCATGAACCAATACATCAAAGGATACCTGGAGACGGCCGCCGCGTTCCCTCGTCTTCGATCCATTCATATTCATGAACTCAGGTCTGAGTACCAAAAATTGATAGGTCGATGGATGGTAAGCGGAACCTGATGCAGACTTGGTGAATGTTTCTGCACTGACGGGACTCCCACTTTTGGTAGAAAGTGGCAGAGCGACTCACTTTGGAGACCTTGGACTTGGGCGACGCGGTTGAACAGCGCATTCAAAGAAGAGGGATGTCATCTACGGTCAGTTGAATACACCCACCCGCCAAATTGGATCCAGCAGCTCACACTATTCTTTCAGTTGTTCTTGAAGATGAAACAGGATATTGAACATCCGCGATTGGTCAACGTGGCCCCTTTACTTGGCCAACCTCCACAAAAGCCCCCGATAGATGTGGCGGAATGTGCATATTTATCAATCCATGTGGCTCGGATGGATTTGCAAGCACGCGTGTCCTCTTCGGTCCTTCGTCGAGAACGGGAGCGAGCCGACTTGAACATCAGTCATGCACAAGTACGAATAAGATTGAATGAGCTTCTTCAACACATTTCTCAAGAAGATAAAAAATTGAGAGATGCACATGAGGAAGAGTTTCGGCGTGAGAATCAGCAAGAAGAAGAATATGTTGATTCTTATTTCACTTTGTTCTATAATAGCACCCCGCACTAAACAAAGACTTAGTCCTACAGTACCATCCATTACCTAATGTATAACACTGATCTCTCCGCTCTTTTTTCACCTAAAAATGATTTGCAGATTCTTACATCATCCTGCTTGCCAAGTTGTATTTTTCTCAGAAACTGTCCAATGAAATTCTGGGAGCTTTTATTTGAGGTGCAGAGGCATATTCCATGTCAATATTTCTGGATTGAGTGTCAATGGGAGGAGACTGAAGTCAAGAGAAACTAAGTAATACATCAATCAGATAACAAGTCAATCGAGGAAACAAGTGTGTCAGTGTTCACAGCATGGGTGTGGTGATAGTAGTACAAATTGTGATGGGAATGGAGAGTGTCTATTTAATCTGTCAAAACATGGGTCAGCTACTGTTACAAACTCCAGAGCAGGTTAATGGCCATAAGATCTGAAATAGAGCAGGAAAGATTGGAGAAAAAGATGCAGTCAAAGCTCAAAATCTGATGATGTCACTAATCTAACATCATTTGTGAAGTGGATGCTACTTGTGAGGCCTTTGGGGCCTTGGCCTTGCCTTTAGAAGGCTCAAACCAATTCTTGAGCCCATCCTGAACACACTTGGTCCAGGCCTTTGGGGTTATTGGGGGGCGGGTCATGTTGGAGAATTGTTGACGCAGAGGAATGGAGTGCAATGAAGCAGAATTGATTATGTAAGAATGGTCATCTTGATGTTTAACAGCTTCCTTAGATGGGGCTGCTTCCTCTGGGCCAAATTTCCTCTTATTGTTTTTGTCTGGCATACATTTCCCAAGATGGCAATCATGTTGCACATTGAGACATCCGGCAACCTCCTGGAGAATTGGAAACAAAGGTGAAAATTTGGGTTTCAGTGGGCAATGAGGTTGGTGGATAATCTAAGGGAGAGGAGATGAGGAACCTACTGAGGCCAAATAAAACTCAATTGTCTTCTCATTTACAAGTGCGGTCATGTTGTAGAACTGGTCGATGGATTTAACTTGAAATCGTGTGATTTTGACGTATAAAGTCTTGCGGTTTTGGAATTGTCCCTTCCATATAGATTCCACGCGCCCAATGAATTTTGGGGATTTGTTCCTGGGGAAAATCTTTCAGATAGTCACCAAGAGTTAGTGATCAGGAATCAGAGGGAATTGGGTCCTCTGGGAATTTTAGACTTACAACCACAAAGTATCCCTTCTTGCAAACATCCTTTGAATTGATGTGCAGCTGATGGACCTGAGTAAAGTGATATCCAGCCAAATGTTCCTGTAGGTAATGTGGGGGGGGTTCTTTCTCCTCTTGGGGGACTGGAGTGATCATCTCCATTGGATAGACATGGGAATCAGCTACCATGTTATCATTATACCCCATGGACCTCCGAATGAGGCTGTTGTCCCTGAAGATGTTGGTCACATTAGGACTGGCAAAGAAGGTCTGACCAGATCTGTGATTGATCAAGCGCCCTCCAGAGAAAATGGCTCGCAAACATTCAAAGTCGGCAAAGCTGATTGAAATATCCCTCCCTGGATTGTGTCTGTTTGAGTGAATGGACGCCAACCGCAATATCTTGTTGAAGCTTTCAAATTGTTCTGTGGCAAACAATCCTGCAGGCCCAAAGCGCTCCACGGACTCAGGCAAGTGCAATAACATGTGGAATTTGGGTTTGTTGACCCATCTTGCCGACTGTTGGATGGTGTGAAATAGAAATATATCTATGTACTTGCGGAGATCGGCCAAGTGTGTGGCCATGTCAGCAATGTTGGATTGGAAGATGTATGTGGATAGGATACAGAGTGAAAACCAGTGGCCTTTTTGAGCTGTGCTCATGAAGTCAAAAAAGACAAAAGGGGCAGCCTGGAGGATGATCTTGAAGTCCTTTCCAATGAGGCTTTTATAGTGTTTGACCACGTAAGAAGGGCTGATTGAAGGGTGGTTGAGGGCATCCGTGTTGAAGGCTTCCCACCTCACAATCAGTTCAGATATTTGATACACCTTCAATCCCTTCATGAAGTCCTGGGTCATGTACTTCACTACACCAAGCAGGAAGACATGGAGTACCTCAACTGGAGTGTCTTTGCAACCATCAAAACCTACATCAATTTAGCATGAATCAATTAGCTACATGTCTTCAATGGTAAGAATGGTCAATTCAATTCAATTCAATGTGTACCTTTCAGTCGGTAAATGGGATTGAATAGTCTCTCATCATTGTCCTTCTCTATAGCTTCCACTTCTGACTTCCACTCAGCTTTATTTTTGCCACGAATATTTTCAACCATCTGGCGGTTGATTGAATCACGGACCCCATGCTTGGTCCCCAGATCTTCATATTTTTTTTGGGCACCTGATTTGCCCATATTCCATATTTTTTTGGCATTTTCAATGGTTCCTGCCCAAGTGCGTGGTGGGAAATTAACCTGAGTTGAATGAGCATGA